AGAGTATAGGAGGACAAAGGCTGAATGGAAAGGGAACATCTGAGCATGCGTACTGACAAAACTACGGAAAGTGGAATAGACATTTGCAACGCGGATGCAACCTTTGCTTGCAAGCGGGAAAATTATTGTCTCCACCCATTTTGAAACGACATTCTAGGCTCAAGAAGCTGGACTGATAGACTCCTCTTGCCTCCATTCCCACTCTATTATCCTGACCTCCGATAGCCAAATTAAGTTCACTAACTGCTAAGGTTAGTTGATTAGCTGATCGATCGAGTGGCACGTTTTCTTCTCGGCACGAATCAAGCCTTCACAACTGCTTCACTTCTTCTGAGGTAGGTTGTCTCTGAGGGTCAGGCTTAAACACATTAAGCGGGGAGAAATATCATGTAGAAAAGTGGGGAACCACTAAAGAATGTAGAGTGGTTGGGTCTTTGCTGTACCTCCCAATAATCTGCAAGTTAAACAGCAAAATGAACAATTTAAAGTCTTTTGGGGAGATCTTTTAGGGCAGAGATAAAAACTAAAACTGTCATCTGTGAAACCCCCTAATTGCTCTCACTCAGGGAAGCCAAACCCCTTCAGCCCGAGGAATTCCAAAATTAGCCTGATGCCCCTAAATTTCCTCAAGCAGAAATAATAGCCTCAGCCTAAAGGACTCCTTTATTACATCCTCTGAAATAAAGCAACAATTGTTTTCTTTTTTTGTTTTTGTTTTTTTATAATCGTGCCGATTATGATTTACATTCAGTATTCTTTTGCTTTAGTTTCAGGTGTACAGCACAGTGGTTAGACAATCATATACTTTACAAAGTGTTCCCCCCATTATTTCCAGTACCTACTTGACACCATATAGTTAATACAATACTACTGACTATATTCCCTATGCTGTATTTTACATCTTCATGACTATTTAGTAACTATCAGTTTGTTCTTAATCCCTTCACCGTTTTCACCTTCCCCTATAGCAACCATCAGTTTGTTCTGTGTCTATGAGTCTGTTTCTATTTTCTTTGTTCATTTATACTGTTCTTTAGATTCCACAAATCAGTGAAATAATATGGTACTTGTTGACTGACTTATTTCACTGAGTATAATACCCTCTAGGTCCATCCACGCTGTCTCAAATGGCAAGATTTCCCTTTTTATGGCCAAGTAATATTCCATTGCATCTAGGTGCTGCTACATTTTTGTCTTTTAAATATTTTATTTATTTTTATTTTTATACTATTACAATTGTCCCAATTTTCCCCCTTTACTCCCTTCACAGCACCCACATTCCTACCATTAATCTCCACACCATTTCCATGTCCATGGGTCATGCATATATGTTCTTTGACTAATCCCTTCACCTTCTGTCATCTAGTCCCTGCTTTGCCCATACCCTCTTACAGCTGTCAGTCTGTTCCACTTCTCTTATGCCTCTGATTCTATTTTGCTCAGTTTATTTTGTTCACTAGATTACACTTATAAATTAGATCATATGGTATTAGATCATATGGTATTTGTCTTTCACTAACTGGCTTATTTAACTTAGCATACTATTCTCCAGTTCCATCTATGCTGTTGCAAAAGGTAAGAATTCCTTCCTTTTTACTGCTGCATAATATTCCATTGTGTAAATGTACCGCAGCTTTTTCATCCACTCATCTACTGATGGGTACCTAGGCTGCTTCCACATCTTGGCTGTTATAAATAACATTGCTTTGAACATGATGGTCCATGTATTCTTCTCAATTGGTGTTTCAGATTTCTTAGGGCATATTCCAAGAAGTGAAATTGCTAGTCAAAAGGCAGTTTCATTTTTAATTTTTTGAGAAAACTCCATAATGTTTTCCAGAGTGGTTGCACCAGCCAGCATTCCTGCCAACAGTTCACTAGGGTTCTCTTTTCTACACATCCTCACCAGCACTTGTTGTTTATTGATTTATTAAAATTTTTAAAGATTTTATTTCTTTATTTTTAGACAGAAGGTAAGGGAGGGAGAAAGAGAGGGAGAGAAACATCAGTGTGTGGTTGCCTCTCATATGCCCTGCACCAGGTAACCTGGCCCACAACCCAGGCATGTGCCCCAAGTGGGAATTGAACCAGTGACCCTTTGGTTCACAGGCCAGCGCTCAATCCACTGAGCCACACCAGCCCAGGCTGTTGCCATTTTGGCATGTGTGAGATGACAACTCATTGTGACTTTGTGTCTCTCTGATGGCTAATGATGCCAAGCATTTTTTCATATGTCTACAGGCCATCTGTATGTCCTCCTTGGAGAAATACCTATTCACATCCACTGCCCATTTTTCAATTGGATTGTTTGTTTTCCTGGTGTTGAGTTGCATAGGATCTTTATATATTTGCATATTAAACCCTTGTCCAATGTATCATTGGCAAACATGTTCTCCCATACAATGGAATCCCTTTTCATTTTGATGATGGTTTCTTTAGCTATGCAGAACCTTTTTAATTTGATATAGTCCTATTTGTTTACTTTTTCTTTTGTTTCCCTTGTCTTAGGAGATATATTGGTAAAATATTGCTACAAAAGAAATCTGAAATTTTACTGCCTATGTTTTCCTCTAGAATTTTTATGGTATTGCAATTTATATTTAAGTCTTATATCCATTTGAATTTATTCTGCTCTGTGGTATAAGAGTTTATAGTCTAGTTTCATTTTTTTTAAGATTATATTTATTTATCTTTAGAGGGGAAGGGGGGAAGGAGAGAGGGAGAGAAACATCAATGTATGGTTGCCTTTTGTGCGTCCCCTGCTGGGAACTGGCCTGCAGGGAACCGGCCTGCAACCCAGGCATGTGCCCTGACTGGGAATCGAACCGCGATCGTGTGGTTCGCAGGCCCGCACTCAATCCACTGAGCTACACCAGCCAGGGCTAGTTTCATTTTTTTACAAGTACTAGTCCAGTTCTCTCATCATGATTTATGGAAAAGAGTGGTTTACTACATTGTATGCTCTTGCCTCCTTTGTTCAGTATTAATTGACCATAAAGGTATGGCTTTATTTCTGAGCTCTCTATTCTGATCTGTTTGTTCTTATGCCAGTACCAGACCGTTTTGATTACAGTAGCCTTGTAGTCTAGTTTGATATCAGGTATTGTGACCCCTCCAACTTTGTTCCTCTTTCTCAAGATTGCTAAGGCTTTTCAGGGTCTTTTTTGGTTCCACATAAATTTGGGGAGTATTTGTTCTAGATCTGTGAAATATGCCACTGGTATTTTAAAGTATATTTTATTGACTATGCTATTACAGTTTTCCCAATTTTTTCCCTCTCCTACATCCTGCACCTCCAACCCTCCAACATTTCCCCCACTTAGTTCATGTCCACAGGTTGTACAGGTAAGTTCTTTGACTTCTGTTCCCTATACCATTCTTAACCCCCCCCAATCTATATTGTACCTACTAATTATGCTTCTTATTCCTGGTACCTTCCCTCCCCATTCTCCCCTTCCCCACTGAAACCCTCCCTGTGATCTCTATTTCTCTGCTTCTGGTCCTGTTCTTGTTGGTTGCTTAGTTTACTTTTTTTGGTTCAGTTGTTGATAGTTGTGAGTTTGTTGTCATTTTACTGTTCATAGTTTTCTTTATCAGAGCCAGATCCTAGATCATTGGTCTTTTTAATTTTTTTTAGTCTCTTACTTATTTTGGCTCTGATCTTATTTCCTTCCTTCCACTTACTCTGGGCTTTGTTTGTTGTTTTTCTAGTTTTTTTTAGGTTATAGGGTTAGTTTGTTTATTTGATATTTTTTTCTTTCTTCTTTAAGTAAGCTTATATTGCTATGAACTTCCCTCTTGGGGCTGCCTTTGCTGTGTCCCATAAGTTTTGGGTTATTGTGTGTTCATTTTCATTTATTTCCAGGTGCTTTTTATTTCTTCCTTGATCTCATTGATGGTCCATTCACTGTTTAATAACATGTTGTTCAGCCTCCATGCATTTGAATGTTTTTGAGTTTTTTACTGAGGTCAATTTCTATTTTCAGGCCCTTGTGGTCTGAGAAAATACTTGATAGGATTTCGGTTTTCTTCAATTTGTTAAGACTTATTTTGTGTCCTACCATGTAGTCTGTCTTTGAGAATGATCCATATGCATTGAGAAGAATGTATTCTGCTGTTTGGGGATGAAATGTTCTCTAAATATCAATTAAATCTTTTCAATCTCATGTGTCATTTAAGGTCGCTGTTTCCTTGTTGATGTTTTTTATGTGAAAGATCTATCTATTGGTGACAGTGCGGTGTTAAATTCCCCTACCATGAGTGTATTGCTCTCGATCTTGTCCTTAAAGTCCACCATGATTTTCTTTATGCATCTCTAAGTGCTCTGATATTGAATATATATATATATGTTTACATGCCATTACATATTTTATCCATTGGTCTATTGATAAGCACTTGAGTTAAAGCAACAAACTTCTTGGCATCAGAAACCCAAAAATATCCTCTACTTGAGAGACTCTCAATGCCTTCATTTCTACATTAAAATCCCCTACATCTCAGCCAGGTTGATGCCTAGTCCTGTAGTCTCAGAAATTACAGCTCTCTTTACAGAAATTTCCAGATAACCTAAAATTAGCCTCCAAATCCACTCATATTAGTGCTCCTTGTTTCTTTTCAATAAAGAAAAACCTCATGTCCCTCTACCTCAATATCCAAACCATATTATCTCTGAGACTTACCTCCCCTGGCCTTGTTCACACAAAACACCTTCTCAGTAACACAGCACCCTCACTTCACTGCTTCCCCAACATGGGCCTTTCAATCTTTCCTTTAGGATAAGCCAAACTTCAGGCAAAGTACTAACAACTGTAGCCAGCCAGACCCCCTCAAAGACTCAAGGCTCCTTTGGTCATGCCCATAGAAAACCTGTCCCCCCATCTATCCTTCTCCCAGAGACCTACAGCCCCTGACATAACCTGGGTTCCGCCATGGCCTTTCTCACTGACAAATGAGCCAAGGGTGGATAAAAGTAAAACCTTGTTCCTGGTAACAGTCTGAGTATGGTTTCCCCTCAGTGCTTTCTCCCCCACAGGACCTTTGGCCTTGCAACTGGAGAGACTCAGGCTGTGTCCCTTCAAGGTCAGATCATTCCCACAGCCATGAACACAAGCAGCTCCTCTGCAGAAAAACCCAAGGAGGGTAAAGTCAAATCAGAAGAGAAATGCAAGGTGAGGTGATCCAGAGGGGGAAGAGTGGTAGCCTGGGAACACCATATGGTGGCTAGATTTCTGAGGACATGAGGCCAGAAGCAGTGAGGACAGGAATGAGGGTGTCAGGGTGGTTGTCCAGAGCCTCGGGAGCTTCCCACCCTCACTCAGAACTTGCCCAGCATCCCTGGAGACAACGAGGCCTGTGACCTTGCACTACATTTGGTGACTGTCAGTCCATTCTGGAAGTTGAGAGCAGAGTTCACCACCCACATGAAGCACCCGCAGCATGCCAGAGGCAAGGCTAAGGACTGTTATGCTTGTTTTCTCAGTTAGCGGTGACATCAACCAGGAAGAATTCGTAGCTGCAGGTCACAGGTCCAACACACAGGCCCTGCAGCGGAGGAAGAGGTCAGGCCAAATTACAGATATTTTTACCTGAGACACTGCCAAGATTTTTCTTTCTTTCCTAGGCCTTCATGGATATTTGCAAATACTTCTCCAAGGAACAGTGGGCAAAGCTGGGAAACTCAGAGAAAATCACCTATGTGTACATGAAGAGAAACTATGACACCATGACTCGGCTAGGTAACAGGAAGTTCTGGGTCCAGACAGGCCTAGGAACACAAAACCGTCCTTCTTTCCCTCTGCATGCCATGGCTTTGTCTTAGGCTACAGCCAGTATCCCCTTCTTTCCTTTTCTGTGGGGAAAAACACCAGGGCAGCTCCAGAACCTTCTGCTTTGTTGTATCCTGAACAGGGCTCCAGGCCAGGAGTGGCCACGGAGATGCTCAGACCTGGGTCCCCCACACTTCACTACCACTGGCCTTCATTCAAATCCCCCCTATAACCTTTACTGTCCCTGCTGCACCCCCAGCAACCATGTTCCTCTCTGGCTGTCTCTTAAGGAACAAATGTTTTGCTTCTCGCAGGTCTCAGGGCCCACCTCCCAGATTTTATGCATCCTAACAAACAGACCACAAAATCTCCTGAGCACGATTCTGATGAAGATCAGAACCCCGAGAATCAAGGTGAGTGACAGGAAGGGCCTGGAAAGTGTCTCTTAAAGCCTGTTTTTGGGTCCAGCTGCTCAGGAAAGATTCTCGGGGGGTTCTTTCCTTGAAAGGATCACTGCTGAGTGAAGAAAGTAAGATGCAGAAGATTATGTACAATCAGAGGCCATTCATATAAAATTCTAAAACATGCAAAATAGCAGTAATGTTTTTATAGATAACAAGTTAACCATAAATGTATACAAAACTGAATGGGAATAAAATTAAACAAATTTGGGTGTCGAGAAGTGCAGAAGGACCGACAGGGATCGGTGAGGGCTGCACAGCTGGTGTCAGCTGTGACTTGTTCAGAGTGTTTTGATCTATTTTGAATAAAGGAGCTCAGAGCAATCTAAAACAGTTGTGCAATAATGTTAAGATCTGGCTGGACTCAGCTGCAGATGTACACACGTTTCTCATATTATCCTCCATATTTTTCTAGAGTTTGAAATATTTCATTTAAAGGAGCTACTGTTCCTGCTGAACACCCTCATGAACCACATGAAAATTAAGAAAATTTTGATTAAAGTGTAAATCCTCCAGAAATATCCAGAGTCAATTTTAGAATACCAAATACATAGGTTTAGATAAGCATCAAAAGAGACAAAGCAATTAAGGTATTTTGTAATGACATTCACTTATTTTCCTTAACTTTATCAAACAGAATGGTCTTCTCACCCCTAACTGAACCCAATTCTATATATTAACTTTGGGAGAGGGTTTGAGAGAGCAGTGCCACACACACTGAGCTCTATTTGTCAGTGAGTAGGCCACATGGGGTGAAAGAAGTGACAGATTCACAAAAACTCTGTGCATGGTAACAGTGTGTTTACTCACTGTAAAGAGGACATATGTGCTCACTTGCTCTTCTCCTCTGACAGCACAGTCATAAGAAGAGGGTCAGAATGCTTGTATTGTCTCCAACTCCACAAGCTCCCAAAATCAATGTCAGGGGACTGAAAATCCAGTGAAAATTTTTGACATTTGAGGAGTGTTTTTATACTGGAAACCTCCCCAATACTTGAAGCCCACTGCCAATGGGCTAAATCATCCCTGCTTCATCACATACTTAACAACTTCATTGGGATATAATAGGCATTCTATAAAATTTGCCTATTTTAAGTCTAAGTGATTTCTATTTGCCACACATCATTAAGTGGATACTATTCAAATTCCCAACCAATTGAGGTGATTCTTTGAGAAAAAAGAGTAAGAAATATCATGGAATGGGATGAGGCAAGAATGGGGTTTAGTTCACATCAGAAACCATCATGAAAAAAGTTATGAATTTATACCATCAATAAACCATTATTAGAGATGATTCAGAAGTCAAATTCAAAATAACCCCTTGACAGTGAGTGGATTCATACCATCTGCTTCAGAATTTCATGGTACTTCAGGAATCTCCATGGACTTTGGGAACTTTATCCACCAAAGAACTATGCTTGATCACCCTCATTTCAATGAATACCCTCAGGAGACTTCCAAAGTTCAACCAAGAAAATACCTGAGGGTAACTTTCAAATCTGAAGGACCACAGAGCCTTTCTCCCTGCATGTATGTGAATATGGTAAGAGTGGGAGAATACTGTGATAGCTCACACTTCTTTTGTCTTCATAGTGATGCCGGGTATTATTTTAAGTGATTCATATGAATTAATTTACATAACCCATAAGAGAACTTTTATGACAAAAGTTACTATTATATCCAAATAATTGGGTGCACATTAATAAAAATAATAGCACATAATAACTAAAATAATGAAGATGTGGTGTCACAGAGATGCTAAATAATTTCCCTGAAACCAAAGGGGCAGTGACAGTCGTCTAATCCAAAGCATTAACCCATTTCCAAGCTCATAGACATTTTCTTATGTTTATGAAGTTCAGGTTGTCTCCACAGGGGTTTATTCCCCATGTGCCATTCAAACACTCAGTCTCACAACAGGAAGTACCAGTCCCCTCTGCCTTCCTGTGTTTGTGACAGTGCCAATCTGGCAATAGCATGAAGCCAAGTGTTCTAGTCATTTAGGCCATTTTTTTCCCTTCTAACTGCCCTAGTTCCTCACAGTTGAGGTACTGGTCATATAATCTCCCCAAAAAGTAGAGAATATTCATTAAGGTACTGCATGTGAAGACACTTTATAAGTTTTAAAGCACCAGAGAAAGGGCTTTGACACCACTTACATATGACCTTCCTATGAAATGGGTGGTGCCCGTGAAAGAAACAAGAGAAGGAAATGACTTGAAGCCCACTGCCAGTAACACTAAACTCAGAGACAGCTCAGAAAGAGCCCTACCCCCTGGGAAAGGTGAGTACCTCTGGTCAGCCCAGAAAGCAGATGCCAAGTAAGGAGTGAAATTTGGAGGAACAATTTCTCTGGCTGCACTGCCGTCAAGGCTGGATCCTGAACAAGCCTGGGTCCAAGTTGGACTCGAGCTTGTTCAGCTGCAGCTGAGAGCTGAGAACAGAACTTCCAAAGTCATAGATTATATTTTCAGCAGCATAAAATCAATGTTGCTGTGGGCTGGTCATCCATATTCCCTAAGCTCTAAATTCTTATTCTATAGAATGGAAATGAAGAATCAAAATTATTTGTTTGAAGACATTGAATGAAAGCTATGACTCAAGACATGAATGGTGCTCAAGTAATTCCATCTATGATAACCTATGTCTTACTCAGAGTTGTATCCACAGCCTTCAGCTCAATGCCTGACACACAATAGGCCCTAAACAATGTATGCTGAAAAGTCTGAATGAATGTTCTGGTAACTAAAGAGCTTGGGAATCTAAACCTGACAGTGGGAGGCATTTGAAATGGCATTTGTTGTGTACTTGTGTGGGTCTAACATCTCAGTCTCTCTGAGCTACAGGATGTGGACAAGAGACCAAGTGGAATGCCCTTGGGGAGGAGGAGATATCTTATCTGACAACTTTATTAACCAACATATCTCTACCACAGGATTGGGGAAAGAGAAGACTAATGTATGGCTCCACAGGCTGAGGAAAAGAAGGAACCATGTTGCGTACGAAGAGACCAGTGACCCCGAGGAAGATGACTGTGTAACTGACCTTTCATTCCAGTCCCCACCTGTGCAAAACTCTTCTGATGAGACTGGTATGCCATCTGTCATTCCTTCCCCAAATCGTTCCTTTGCCAAAACCCTTGGAGTGCAGCATTGAGATGAAATAAGGCTTCCCACGCTCTTTCTATTCATTGTTTTGTATATCAAAGGACCTTCACCACCTCTGATGCCCTGGGCTCCTAACCCCTGCTCAGCTCCGGAACTATAGGCCACAGTGTCCTCTAGATTAAGAAATCAGACCAGGTGAGACTCTCTGTGGCAGGAGCAGAAGATTCACTTTGAATAGCAGTGGTACATGAGTGCACATCATGAGGTAGGGCAGAATAGGAGTGCTTGGGGTCCTGCCTGTCAGGATAAGGAGTTAGGTATTGATGGATCAGACAATGGGAGCTCACTGCCACTTATTTTCCTTCTCTCTCCTTGCCTCCAACTCAAGGTTGTGACAACTGTCCATGATAGAAAACAGAACATAGTGGCCCTTCGTGAACATGAGCAAAGCTGTGAACTCCTGGTCTTCAGGTGTACGAGTGAAAGAAAATGTGCACACTAGAGAAAAGTTAAGCATGTTTCTTGCTATGTGCCAAATATTGTTAGATGTTAGAGTTTCATTAATGAGTAACACATATACCTAATGCTTGTTTTTGTCTATGTATTCATGCACTTACCTCATGAAACAAGCATTGTCAGTTATCTCTGTACAAAAGATCTGTACCCTCCCCTCCCCCAACCTGACTGATAAGGCAATTCTGGGGATTGGATTCTGGGTGTTATCTTATGCATTTGTATACACACCTGCACACACATGGGGTGCAACTATAAGCATCTCCCACATGCTCTTCTCCACTAACAGAGTGTCCTGGTCATGTTCCTTTCAGTCTGTCTCCTGTTTAGTAGCTGCTCTGTGTTTCAAACCCCCATTATTTATTTTCCCAGCATCAGTCACTGCCAGTTAATAAACACAAGTTTTTCCCAGTTGTCTGCTCCTCTTGTTCTTGTGCACATCAGCCTATGCACATGTGTGGCTGGTTCACTTGTACACATACTTAGAAGTGTAATTGCTATGTCAAAGGTTTCATTCATTTAGCAAACACTTAATGGGTCTGTACTGAGCGCTGTCCCTGGTTCTGAAGAGACATCTGGGAACAAGACAGAGAAATGTCTCTGCCCACGCGAACTTGACATTCTACTGGGGGATATTTCCAGTTTTTACTAGACGGACTCTGTACACCACAATCCAGACACAGGTTTCTGCAGTTAGTTGGACACCTTGCCTTTTACTCTGTCAGATCATCACAGCCAGGAGCTGGGATAGTCCATTGTGGATTGTGTGAAAAGAGAATTGCTCTGTATTCTGCCTCAGATCTCAGGGTTGGAGATGTGGGGTCAGTTTTCCAGGATGAAGAAGCTCCAGAGCAGAAGCTTCCAGAGAGGAAGAGGCAGGGTCTCAGTGTTGGTGGGGGCAGGGAAGGACACAGATGCACAGGGTGTGTAGAAGGGCGGGTCAGCATAGAAGTTTTAGGGCCCAGTGTGGGCTCTAATAGCCACCAAAAGGAGAAAGTGTCATGATGGAGGGTGTGAAGGGTTAGCTTACTTGGTGCCAAGGTTCCCCAGAACTAGGAGTACAACCCACATGGCAAAGCAGTGAGAGCAGAGTGCTACCCAGATCTGTGAAGATGCTGCTCTACCTGTGCCTCAGCAGAAACAAATTCCCTTTTACCCTAATATAGTTCCACGTTCCTCGGATTTAATACTCTGCTAATAGACATTATGCAGTACATTATTCTCCATGCAAATACAGAATAGAATACCCAAAAGAGATCCTGAAAAATTTCACTTTTCTTTCCCATTGAGAAGATGGTTCCCACCAACTGGATGTCCAGCAAGGGAAATAGGTGCAGGTAAGGGCTAGTTGAAAACACTTTGTAGTCACAACAGGGAACATTTTTCCTTTAGGTTCTGTAGGTAGATAGAGCTTTCCTTCTCCCCTTCCTCCATGTGACAGATCCAAACTTTGACATGAAGGGCTAGTACAGTTTTGCCCAACTCCAGAAATCAGCCTGCACATGGCCCCAAGCATATCCCCAATTAGCCTTCTCCCCTCATCCAAGCCTGGGACCCCATGTAGGTGCATGTACTCTTCTGATGAGGGTCCAAAATGACTGTTTAAACCTTCTTGTCTATTTCATTTGTCTTTCAATAATTTTTTACATTGGTTCCATAGCTAATCCTACTTCCTAGCAGACAATTGGGAAATGCAGCAATGTGTGAGAAAGAACAGTACATGTGTCACAGGAGGAAACTTTTTAGCATTATTCACCAAGACTCACAATAAAGAACATATTTTTGCAGTAATTCAAAACAAATGCTTCATAAAATCATGCTGACCCTTTGTACATATGATACACTTTTATATTTTCTATTCTACTCTGTAATGTGCTAGATTATCCTATTCTAATTCATTAAAAACATGAAATTCTGCTCAGGTTCCATAAAACATTCCATTAACCTGTTCATGAGTCATAACCTGCAGCTTGGAAAGCCCTTCAGTCCCAGTGTGTGTCCACCAGGTGACCCCCTGCTCTGAGTCCTATGGAGAAAGGTCAAGAAAGCCTCATGATTTCTCTTTGGGCCACAGTTTTCTGGGAAACAGTGAGCTGGAGACATCTTGATCCCCTGGCCCAGGTCTGACCAGGGGTGGGGTGTATGGGGAGATATCCCAGATGTCTGGGAAAAACCACTCATGTGTTTCTCCTTTACTCTCATACTACTACCACACTCAGAACACTTCTGAGAGCAGATGTTTGGGTTTTTTCTCACATCAATCTCTTCTCTACAACACCAACTGAGTGTCACAATTCAGTTCAATCCTGACACCAGAGTTACCTCAGAGCCCACTGGTTAAGGGCCCAGTCCCACAAGACTGCTTCTCCCACCCCAGATGCCAATTGCAAGTCCCAGGTTGTCACCTGTACTCCTGACCAACTGGCTATAAATCCAAGTTTCCCATACCCCCTCCTCATGTTTGGTCACTTGCTAGAATAGCTTACAGAATTCGGGAAAACACTTACGTTTACTGGAGCATTATATAATAAAGAATGTGATAAAGGATAGAGATGAACAGCCAGATGAAGAGGTACATAGGATGAAGTCTAGAAAGGTCCCAAGCACAGGAGCTTCTATCCCATGGAATTGTGTCACTCTCCCAGCACATGGATGTGTTCACCAATCTGGACTCTCCCTGAGCCCTATACTATTAAGATTTCATCGAGGCTTCATCATGTAAGCATGATCCATCATTAACTCCAATTCCAGCTCCTGTTCCTTCTCCAGAGAATGGAGGGTGAAGCTGAAAGTTCTAAGTTTGTAATCATGCTTTGGTCTTTCTGATGAACAGCCCCCATCCAGGGCCATTCATCAGCCACCCAGAGTTGCCTCATCAGAACAAAAGATGCTCCTAGTGTTCTTTCCATGTAGGAAGTTACAAGGGTTTTAGGTGCTCTGTGCCGGCAACAGGAGAAGAGGCCAACATATGTATTTTCTGTTTTTTCACGTCAGGCTTCTTTCTCCTGGTGGGCAGGTATATAGGCTCAGAGCCAACTGAGTTACGCTGAAATGACAGACAACCACTATTTGTTTCTCACTCACGCTGCTTGTCCACCTCAACTGAACTAGGGCTCTTCACATTATCAACACCCTCATGCCAGGAACCAGGGACACAGAGTAGCCAAACAGGTGGAATGCAGAGAGAAAAAAAGAGTATGGCTAAGCATGAACTGGCTCATCAGATGGCAAAGTCTGACTACAAGGATGAGATTGTGCAGTCCTCTGATGAGAAGAGAGAGCTAGGTTATTTGTGAACAGTCCAATATCAGCCAAAAAGGCAATAAAAAATAAAATAAAATCAGCCACAAGGAGGTTTTAGCATCATAAAAGAGAACATGAGTTCCAGCCAAGATGGAGACATAGGTAGAAATGCTTCATTTCCTCACACAACCAAAAGAAGGATAACAACCAATTTAAAAATAATAAATAACCACAACTGCCAGAATAGCAAACTGCATGGAACTCTGACCACCAAGGAGTTAAACATTCATCCACACTGGTAGGAGGGGTGGAGAAGGGCAGCAGGAGGAACCGAAGACCCACAGCAAGGCTACGGACCTAAGGCTGACTCACGGGAAAACTAAGCACTCAAAACCTCTAGCTGTAAAATACTGTGGGGGCTATGAAGGCAGGAGAAACTCCCAGTCTCATAGGACAGTTCGTTGGAAATGGGATAAAATGGGGAGTGAGTGGCTTTGTCCCCTCTCTGACCCCTCTCCCAGAGACAGCACAGCAAAGCAGCAAAGACGGTTGCCCCATGCTGGTGAAAACGAAAGTTCCACCCCCTTACAACTTAACACATGCACCAAGACAAAGAAATATGGCCCAAGTGAAAGAATAGATCAAAACTTCAGAAAAATACCTAAGTGACGGGGACATAGCTAACCTATCTGATGCAGAGTTCAAAACACTGATAATTAGGATGCTCACAAAATTGATTGAGCTCAGTCACAAAATGAAGGAAGAAATGAAGGATGCCCAAAGTGAAATAAAGTAAAATATACAGGGAACCAACAGTGAAGGGAAGGAAACTGGGACTCAAATCAATGATTTGGAACAAAAGGAAGAAATAAACATCCAACTGGAACAGAATGAAGAAACAAGAATTTTTTTAAAAAGGAGGAGAGGCTTTGGACCCTAAGGGACAACTTTAAGCACTCCAACATCTAAATCATAGGGATGCTAGAAGGAGAAGAGGAAATGTAAGAAATTGAAAAATTATTTGAACAAATAATGAAGGAAAACTTCCCCAGTCTGGCAAAGGAAATAGACTTTCAGGAAGTCCAGGAAGCCCAGAGAGTCCCAAAGAAATTGGACCCAAGGAGGAACATACCAAGGCACATCATCGTTACCCAAGATTAAAGATAAGGACAGAATCTTAAAAGCAGCAAGAGTAGAGAGTTACTTTCAAAGGAGTGCCCATAAGAATAGCAGCTGATTTCTCTAAAGAAACCTTGCAGGGAAGAAGGAGCTGGAAAGAAGTATTCAAAGTCATGAAAAGCATGGACCTACATCCAAGATGACTCAATCCAGCAAAGCTATCATTTATCATGGAAGGACAGATAAAGTGCTTCCCAGATAAGGTTAAGTTGAAGGAGTTCATCATCACCTAGCCCTTATATGAAATGTTGAAAGGACTTATCTAAGGAAAAGAAGATCAAAACTATGAACAGTAAAATAATAACAAATTCATAACTATCAACAACTCAACCTAAAAAACAAAGACTAAGCAAACAACTAGAACGGGAACAGAATCACAGAAATGGAGATCACATGGAGGGTTATCAGTGGGGAGGAGTTGGGGATAATGGAAAGGGAAAAGGGAAAGGAAATAAGAAGCATAAATGGTAGGCATAAAATAGACTGGGAGAGGTTAAGAATAGTATAGGAAATAGAGAAGCCAAAGAACTTATATGTACAACCCATGGACATGAAATAAGGGGGAAGGGAATGCTGGAGGGTGGGGTAGTCAGAGCAGAGGGGGTATAAAAGGGAGAAAAAATTGGGACAAGTGTAATAGCATAAGCAATAAAATAAACTTAAAAAAAGAAAAACTTGGAAGCCCCCAATGCCCAATACTTGTCTCCAGAGAAGAGCACACTGTGTGACAGGACCAGATGGCCTGAGTGTCATACAAGCTCTATCAGCCTGTACACCCACCTATGAGCCCACTGTGAACCACTGGGCCTCACAGCTTCTATTTAGCTCCTGGATGGGAAGGCTCAGGGTGTTCTTACTGTCCACTGCTGTCTCATTACAACCCACAACAGAGCCAAGCTAGAACTTCTTATAAATGACCTGAGGGAATGGAGGGAGGGTAGGGAAATAAGGTTACAGGGAAGACTGTGTTCCAATGTCCCAAATTTTCTCCACTTTTTCCAGTCCTTCTCTCTCAGACTCACCAAAATGAGGGAAAACAGCATACAGGTCAGGGAAAGACCACTGGTATAATCCAGGTAGGCTTCAGGGTCAATAACACAGATATTCAAAAATCCAGGGGACCCCCCTACAGCAAATATTAAACCCCCAGTCTGGCCTTCAAGACCCTTAGCCCTACAACAAATATTAAACCCCCAGTCTGGCCTTCAAGACCCCTTGCCCCAATTATGCCACACCTTTGCATAAGCTTTTACTTCTACCTGGACCAGCCTCCCCTCCAGAGCAAACTCCTATTTATCTCTTAAAACCCACATCAGGCCCTGGCTGGTGTAGCTCAGTGGATTGTGCACAGGCCTGCAAACCAAAGCATCGCCTGTTTGATTCCCAGTCAGGGCACATACCTGAGTTGTGGGCCACATCCCCAGTATGGGGTGTGCTAGAGGCAACCACACATTGATGTTTCACTCCCTCTCTTTCTGCCTCCCTTCCCCATCTCTCTAAAATAAATAAATAAAATCTTAAAAAAAAAAACCACATCAGCCCTGGCTAGTATAGCTCACTGAACTGAGTGCCAGCCTGCAAACCAAGGTGTCACCAGTTCAATTCCTGGTCAGGGCACATGTCTGGGTTGTGGGCCAGGTCCCCAGTGGGAGGTGCCCAGGAGGCAGCCACACATTGATGTTTCTCTCCTCTTTCTCCCCCCTCCCCCATCTCTAAGGATGAATAAATAAAATCTTTTTTTAAAAAAACACATCAAACAAGCTCTCCCCTGCTGTGGAACAGCCCTTGAAAATGGGTATTCTCTCAATCTGTCTCCCCTTCTCTAACCCCGCTATCCAATGATCAAACCCAGGAAGCTTCTTACCCAAGTATCTCATGAGGGCCAGTGGCGGGATGATTAACACTCTGACGATGATGATAAGGAGGAAATTTCTTGTCAAGAATGAGATGTGGTTACAGTGATGGCACAACAAGAGTTACAGAAGTAGCCAGACAGATTATCAGACTATTAGTCAGATACTGTCAGAGGAATACATTTGAGAACATATGCACCGCTAGACAAAACTGAGATGTCAGATTCACAAATGGATATACCACCTGATGGTAAAACAACAGACTCAAATAATCCAATACAAGGTACCAAGCACAGAGTGAGCCGTGACCCTGGTGTTTGAGAGGTAGAACAACAAACAGTCTGATGATCTGGCAGGCAAGCAATAATGCAGAGTCAGACAAAGAGTCAGAAACACACATGTGTGGTTATTTAAACAGCTCAAAGTTTGTCAAACACCCGAAAGGAGCTGGGCCCATTTGGCCACATGGCCAAAGACAGAAATAGAGATCATATGAATCAGCCAGCTGGCCACAATATAGAAAGCAAGCTGAAAGAAAGAGTGAGATCTATACAGATATTGAATGGAGATGACCTGGCAAGGTATTTAATACAGAATCAGCTGAACAACTGCTTGTTTGTTCAAAAGAATTTTATTGAGTGCCTACTACATTCCAGGCATTCACACACTCTCTGTCTCATACACACAGTTACACAGGAATAAATCAACAAGGCATCATTGTTGCCTTGTTGGCTATACACATCATTGGCTATACACACAGTGGGAGCTAACTATAATTAGACACTGCTGGGCACAAAGACTGTCACCTACCTGGATGGTCTCAGAATCAAACCACAAATCCAACAAGACACACAGAATCAACCATCATATACGAATGACTAAACAGATTCAGCCAGCACATGAATCCAGAATCAAAAATGCAGTCATGTAGATGCATAATCAGAACAATAATCAAACATGCATGGTTGGAACAATACAGAGGACATGTATAATCATAGTTGAGGATCACACACACAGCCAGGGAAAATTTGCCAGAACAATGGTCACTAAATTTCTATCATCACATAGACAGAGCCTACTGACACATACAGTTGGAACAAATCACATATACATAGCTGACATGACGGTACACAGCACGTGCGCGCACACACACCACTGGAGACAGTGACCACACACTTATAGAGACAGATTCAGCCAGCATGATGGACCCAGAATCAAACAGAATCTTCCAGACGTAAACAAATGTCAAACACACATGGTTGGAATCACAGTATACAGGCACAGTTGTAGTTGGCTCTCATACAGCTGATCAGAGAACCTGCCAGTACAACAATCAAAAAGGAAAACCCATGGACAGAGTTTAGAGCTACTGGCGAGTTGTCATATGCTCAGCATCAGAGTACACTGGACATATCAGCCACCAGATGGAATCAGCCAGAATAACATTCACAGAAATCAACACACATGGTCTACTGGACTCCTACAGTCAGAGCAACAGTCACAAAGGAATCACAGTCTGACCAAAGTGGATTGCCCAACAGTCTCAAAATAGAACATCTGGGAGACACAGTTGAAGACAGCAGCCAGACCTGACAGGCGGTCAGTGGCCTGTGAACCAGAGCCAAGGGGTGTGAACCAGCCACATGGCTGGTGCAGTAAGAGGGAGGTATAAGCAATACCTTCCCCTTGTCTCCCTACCCCATTTTCCCCAGCCCAGCCAGAGAAGCCCACCTTCCCCCACCCCCTTCCCCCAAGGTGACCCCCATCTCCCAGAGTCCTCTCCCCCAACATTGTGCAGACAGACAACTATAGTCACCACTACCTTCCCCCAAAGCCCCAGCGCCTTCTGTCCCAGCTACTCCTAGGATCAGACACTTGTAGAGAGGCAGGGGACAGGAAGGAACAGGTTGTGGGTCCAGGAAGCCAGACCAGGATTGAGGTCAGGGTCAGAGGGTCTGGGGACTGGAGAGTTGGGACTTGAAGTAATTAGGTCTGATTGATGGGGGCTGGGGGTGAAGGTTAAGCAGTTAGGATTGTGCTTGGGGGTAGAATCTGTGAGGTGGGATCAGTAGCCAGGGAGAAGGTTAGAGGTGGGCTAGAGGTGGGTAGTAGGGGTCTATGGAAACAAATTATATATACATCGTCTGAGACCATGGTGGGAGTGAAGTCTGAGATCTGGGGCACTGGGAACTTGTAAGCTGGGCTCTGAGAACTGGGTCTTGGGGTTGTACAGCTAGCTTGCATGGTTGGGGGTGGCTAGAAACTAAGTGGTGGGGGTTAGAGGTGAAATGTAATGGTCTGGAGGTGGAGTGAGTCTGAACAACAGAATTTATGGCCAGAATAATGGGTGAGGGTTGGGGATTGGGAATTGAGGGTCTGGGGGCCCAGATGAGGTCTGAGGTCCAGGGCGCAGTCTGGGGTCTAGACTGCAGGAATTTAAGTGTCGGGTCTGGCGTCCCGGGTTCAGAATCCGGAGTCAGGATAGTACGTCCAGAGTCTGGGGTTTAGGTTGAAATCTAGGGTCTTAGATCAGGGGAGTGAGTCTGGGGGTCTGAGTTGAGCTCTGGGACTCACAACACCAGCAAAGGTCAGCAGGAGATAGAGTATGAAGACAGAAGAGCAATGCACATAACAGGGCTCTGAGGCAGATGTCACAATTCAAACTTTACCCCCCAGACCTCCTGCCTGCTCCCAAACACCCCTGTGTCCCCCAGGCCACCCAGGACTCACAGGAAGAAGAGGACCCCTATGTGGGCCATGGCATAGGCCGGCCCCAGGATGCCACTGTCCATGATAGCATTGCTGAGGTTGAACACTGTCTTCTGTGGGTAAGGAACAAGGTCCAGGCACTAACGGGGTGGGAAGCCAGGTAGGGAGACCAATGCTGGGGCCTAGGAAAGACTGGGGCAGGAAGGAGCCCAGGAAGGACCAGAGGAGAAACCAAGAAATTAGCAAAGAAAAGGAGTTGAAGATGGGAAGAGACTGGGAAAGAGAGAGCCAGGAAGGGGAAAACTAGGGGAAATTTTGGAGGGGAGCATCTATAAGTGGAGAGGAACAGAAGAGGGTAGAGAAAACAACTAGGGAGGGGAGTAGCTAGAGATGAGGAGCACCTGGGGAGAAGTAGTAGCCAGGAAGGGGGAAGGGTAGGGAAGGGTAGGGAAGGGTAGGGAAGGGTAGGGAAGGGTAGGGAAGGGTAGGGAAGGGTAGGGAAGGGTAGGGAAGGGTAGGGAAGGAGATGAGCTAGACAAGGTGCAGTTGGGACAGATCCTGTGCACTCACATCCACGAACTACGTTGGCTTCCTCCCAGGGGCAGGACTATGGATGAGCAGAGAGCCCTGGCGTTCCTCCCTGTAGCTGGAGAGGGCAGAGAAATTGGGGCTGATGAGAGGGTAATCCTGATCCCCTGACCTCAACCTCTTGGGCCCTGACTCACCCCACAGCACCTGCAGGTAGGGCTCCATTCATCTTTGGATCTTGCGGTTCCATTCTGTGGGCAGAGAAATGGGGCAGAGGTCAGAGATGGAGCAGGGGGCCTACAAAGTGGAAGAGCTAGATGAAGGGGTAGGGGTTCCGTAAAGACAGGTAGAGAAACACAAACAGATCGCTTCTCAGCCTTTTGGCTAAGAGCAAGTGAGAAACACAAACAGAGATGAGGTGAGGGGAACAAGAACAGAGGGATGACAGATAAGTGGAAAGAATCAAAGGTGAGTGAGAGGCTCAGAGAGGAAGAGATGGAAGAGAGAAAAGCATATCAGAAGGATAAACACAACAACAGCTACTCAGAGAGACATGAAGAGACAAATAGAACGGAGAGACAGAAATAAAGAGAGAGACGGGCCCCACAGCAGATAAGATGCCATTTGGAGCTGTGATTGACTGTTCTCCCAGACCCTAGACTCACTCTGTCTTTTTGCTGTCTCTTTCCTTCCCAGGTCTTCTAGGTCAGCACACTGCCCCCCGCCACCGCCACGGCAATTCCCTCCACCCTCACCATGTTGCCAGGCCCCACTCCTTGCTGGTACACCTGTTGGCAGCCTGCTCCACCTTTCATAATTCCCCCCACCCCCCTCCTTCCCTCCTAAGCCCCAAGTCAAGCCCAGAGCTGATGCAAACTGTCAATCAATCAACTGGGCGAGGGGTGGGGACGTGCATGGAGACCCCAGCCCTGACACTGCAAACTCTATCTGCCATAACCCTGAATATCCTCACTACAAGTCAGAGACAATTGCCCAACTGAGCCCCTTTCCAGGGACAGAAGTGACCCAGGAATGCTCCCCTTAATTCCCTTTTAGGGACCAAGGGTATTTTCTAGGTCCCCTGTCAAGTTTTAAATTCCTTTTGGCAGAAGTAGCTGTGGACACTTCCAGACTTGAGATCCTTCCTGGACTTGGGGTGTCTCAGGAATCTGGCCTGAGCCCTAATTTCCCCTCCTGAGGATAAGCTGTCTCTGAGACTTCCATCAGAAGCCTCCTCCAGGACTTGATGCATTCCCGGGGTAAGAGGGGTGTCTGTTTGATCCCTAGGCCAGCCTACAGTCTCTGTCTTCTGGGTGGAATGTTTCTGAAAAAAACTCCATCCCAGAGCTCACTTCCTTGCAAATGCGGTAGCCCAGAAACCTCTGTTCCGGGCCCCCATCATTACTAAAACTGCCTCCAGGAGACCCCCGCCCCAAGCCCTTAACTCCCTTCCTGGGACTCAGGACTCTCATGGAGCTCCATCCTCAGCTGTGAGCACCCTCTGAGCACTCCTACCCACTCCTAAATTCACTCCCTGAGTGCAAGGTACCAAAGGACTCCCCCTCCCATTCAATTCTCCACTAGTGCTAAAAAGATCTCCAGAAATCCCTCAATCCCCGCTCCCGGGACTCCCACTTGTGCCTTGGGGTCTCCAAACTCCCCACCACGACCAGCACCCCCTCCTCACCTCCTTGCTCCCCTTAGCTCCTTAAGTGGCAGAATTCAGACTAAGGTCGGGGGACCGCAGAACCGCGGGGCTCTAGCTCACTGGCCCGGGCTCTGGCCCACCCCACCCAGCGGCCAATTAGCGGCTGAGGTGCTTGCTCAGGGACTAATCAGAGCAGCCCGGGCCCCATCTGGCCCACGGGTTTGGTTTTGTTTTTTGTTTTTTCCTGAGAAGATGTTTTAATTACAATTCAGTTTCCCTCCTTCTGCTTCCGGCGTTGGGTGGGGCCTGTTCACACCCTAACTGAGCAGCTCCATTGTCCGTCTGTCTTATATAGGGGGGCGGGGAGGGGAATCCTGTCCGCTTCATCCAGGTATGTAACAGCCTGTCTTTCTGAGGCAAAGTATGCGTCTCCTGCAGGGAATCAGGTCAGATGGACTTGGGGTTCTGGCCCAAATCTACTGGGCTGCTTGAGGCCCAAGTGGACAAGAGGCCTCTGTCTGGGCCCCTCCACCCACTCCTCCATCCCCCACAGGAAACAGAATTCCCAGAAAAGCCAAGGGCTGGCTGGGATTCAAAGTTAACTTAGATGCCTCCACCCCACCTGCAGTTGGAGCAGGGCAAGAGATAGGGCATTTACTTCAACACTGCAGGAGAGAAGCTCCCTCACACTCAGGGATAACAGTTCCATCCAGGGGCTCAGAGATGGAGGCAGACACCCATCACCCACAGAGATACAAACTTTTTAAAAATGTTTAAAATTTATTTGAGCCCTGGCTGGTGTAGCTCAGTGGATTGAGCGCGGGCCTGCGAACCAGACAATCGCGGTTCAATTCCCAGTCAGGGCACATACCCGGTTGCAGGCTGGTTCCCTGCAGGCCAGTTCCCAGCAGGGGACGCATGAAAGGCAACCATACATTGATGTTTCTCTCCCTCTCTCCTTCCCTTCCCCTCTAAAGATAAATAAATAAAATCTTTAAAAAAAATTTATTTGAGAGAGAGAGAGAAAATGGAATTTTCTGTTCCACCCATCCATACGTTCGTGATTGCTTCTTTTTTTTAAAAATATTTTATTTATTTATCTTTAGAGGAGAAAGGAAGGAGAGAGGGAGAGAAACATCAATGTATGGTTGCCTTTCATGCGTCCCCTGCTGGGAACTGTCCTGCAGGGAACCGGCCTGCAACCCCGGTATGTGCCCTGACTGGGAATCGAACCGAGATTGTCTGGTTCGCAGGCCCGCGCTCAATCCACTGAGCTATACCAGCCAGGGCTTTGTGATTGCTTCTTGTATGTACCCTAACCAGGGACTGAACCCACAACCCTGGAGACAGTGCTCCAACCCACTGAGCTACCCTGCCAGGACCAGTGACACAAAATTACATGTAGACTCACAGCCACATACACAGAATACACGCTGACAGATATGAATACACATAGACTGCACACAGTGAGCCCAGGCCCACGGTAGTCACATACAGCCACATGGAGTGACTTAGTCTTACAGACATCATCACCCACAGCTTTAGACCACACCCAGAGAGCATAGAGTGGCACAAGGATAGGCTCACTTGGAGCCACTTTAGATTCATGGACATCATCACCCATGGACTCCCAGTCACACTCAAGAGAACCAAAAGGCAAATCACACACAGGCTCACGGCTTCACACAAAATACACAAACAAATCTGATTTTGAAACCAGAAGACACCAGCGTTCGGGCTGCTTGTCACTACCAAACCCGATAAGCAATGGCAGTGATTGAATTTTTATGGGCGCTTTATTCAGATGGCTGGTCCATACCCTAACAGGCCATCTTGTCTTCTCTTTCCAGACCAGACTTTTTATAATGAGGAATAAACGAGGTGCGACGAGGGCTTTGAGATTCAGGGAGGATTGGGGGAAAGAGGCTGCAACATTCCTGTCCTGGGCAGTTCGCTGTCCCCAGGGGCAGGTGGTCATCTGTCTCTCCCTGGAACACAAAGGCCCAGATGCCTCCAGTTGTCCCCAGGTGGTGATCTTTAGCAGAGCCCCAGGAGGTCAGGCATTTTCCCAGGAGCCAAGGACAGGTCTTATCTATAGGTTCTGAAACAAAAGCTTAACATATACATTACTTCCTAGGTTTATAACTTTTTACTTTAAACTAAAATTTTCCAACTCTTGAGTCCCCTATCAAGTTCGCACAGCTGACAACAGAGAAGAAAGACACATACACAGTGACACATACAGAAGAGACAGATAAACACGCTAATCACCCACAAGCATTACAAAGCAGACACATAAACATTCAAAGAACACACACACACACACAGAGCCCGGCGTAGATGAGTTGCCCAAGCAGACAGTACCAACACACAGATACCAGAAAGGAAACATGAATTGGACAGCCATAGACACAAGGCACGATTGGGTAAATTACATAGGTAGATACACGTGGAGTTCCCATATGTATGTTTGTGGCCAAGAACATGTACAGGCAGATGAGATGCATTTGGGGTATATACAAACACACACACACACACACACACACACACACACACACTCCCCTGTTTATCCTGACCTACTCCGATATCTCTCTCCTCTGATACTCCTCCTCCCCCCACAGCCATTACACATCTATGCTACAGGCAGGCCAGGGAAAGAGACACCTGTCAGCAGAGGCCTTGGCCCGGATGGCTAAGGGGGCAGGGAGCTAGGCAGCTGTCTAGATTTCAAGAAAAATCTGAAGTGCCCTGTCCAAAGAACTAGTGTACTTGGACAATGAAACACATATCCCCACCCACCACCTCTGGGTAACAGCTTTCTGCTTCGATCACTCTCTTCCCCTCCCTACCCACTCCTTCTCCCCACCCTCCAACATGGTCCAGCACAGGGCCACCAGGTATACAGCCTGTGCTCCATAAATGCCACTTATCAAGTATCATATTATCATCATTATCTTGTTTATTTGTGCCAAGTTAACTCTTCTAGGGCATGCACTAACGCTCATCCAGCTCTGCACCCCATAGCTCAGCTAAATTGCAAGGCACTGAAAATAGCAGGTGCTCAACATATGCTGGTAGGAGGAAAAATAAAAGGAAAGTGAAATCTGGTGGTAGGGGGTGGGAAACTTGCTTTGGAAGTAAGATATATTTAAGCTTGACCTAGGTACTGAGGCTGTGTCAGGGAAAATAATTATTAGCTCATAACAGTAGGGCCCTTTCTTAGGGTCACTTAAGGCTTTTGATGGTTCAAGAAAGCAGATCCTTGGGTGACAACTGGAATTCCTATTGAGTCTCTTTAAAGTCAGTTTGGGTTCTTGTCAGTTCTTCCAAGCAGACCCCTGCTTTTCATTAAAACTCAGCAGCCTTCAGGGGAGGGAGCCACAGAGCAAAGCGGTTAACAGCAACAGCTTTCCCAGTTCTGCCCCCTTCTAGCTGTGTGGCCAGGAGCAAGTTCTGAAACCTGACAGTTTTAGCTTCCCCAAGGGCCTGATAATGCCTAGGGCCATTGGCAATGTTACAGAACAAACGGGGGTGGGGGCGCGCTGAACTATATAAAAGACCACCCCTTTTTCTGGGGAGGGGGGTGTTCCTCCCCAGTACTGGGTTCATTTTGCCTGCTTCCTGAGGAAAGGTATCTCTTAATACCAGAGATCAGTGAAAAGGAAAGGAATTATTTATTTGAAAATAATACAAACTAAAGTTCTCCACAAACGCACACAATCCTCCCAGCACCCTCTGTGTGGCAAAAGGGAGCACTTCCAAAGCCTTGTGGTCCCAACCAAGACACCAAAGCCACGTGGTCCGAGAAAGAGGCGCGGAGTCCCCTAGAGAGAGCCCCCAAATAGCTGCCACGCCTCTGATTAAATCCCAGTGCCAATCTTCTTCTGCAGCCTCATTTCTTGCTCCTCTCACAATTGGCCACAGCTGCTGCATGCCAGGCAGGTGTGGCCCTGTGGTGTGGAGCCAATCATCTCCAAGCTCTTCTGGACCCCATTACCAATCCCTATTTGGGGCCCTACTGGGAATCCAACCAGCAATCTTTCAATTCTCAAGTCGGTGCTCAATCCACTGAGCCATACTGGCCAGGGCCAGACCTTTAACTTTTTTAGTGCAAGTTTTAAGCCAGCCCTGTGCATTGTTCTTGTGCATCTAATTTAACACACCTTTGAAATATCAGAAGTGATACCCTTCAAAAGGGATATTAACCCTCAAGAGAGCACATAATCTTAACTAACCTGTACCAATCCCTGCCTTGCTTTCTCCAATCTTCCATGTACATTTTCTCCTTAATATCAAATGCATAAAAGAAGCTGCAAAACTGTTATCCTCTGGAGCATTTGAGATCCTCCTCCCCAGCATGTTGTCAGTTCGACTCAAACTTATAAAATCTTCTACCGGTCTGGATGTTTCTTACATGAACCCATATTTACTCCTCCAAATAACTCTGAAATCTGTAATACTTATTATCCCCATTTCATAGATGGACAAACTGAAGTTCTGGAATGGTACAGTTCGGGCAGCAATATCACTTTGGGGAAGTGAAATTCAAAATTGCAACCTAGCGTGGAATGCACTTTAACCCACATTCCTTCCTCTCACGTTCAAGACTCCAGCGGTAATTCCACTTCGATGCACGCCTAAAATGAACGGGTGCTGTCGTTCTCATTGCATTTTGGGAAATGTAGTCTATAAGCTCAACGAACCCCTCTGTGCACGAAGGGAGGAGCGGGGAATTAGCTACACACAGCCGAAACCGAGGAACAAAAAAGCAGCAGACCAGTTTTCGCGCCTCGCAACGTTTCAACTACGCATGCGCGAGTCCAGCGGCTTTGGTCGTGCCTGTTGCATTCTGGGAAGCGCAGTTCTCCAGCCCAGCGAGGTGATACCAGGGTACTGGACTAATCCTCTTAAGTTCTTAAGTTCCGGTCGGGTCCGTATCTCGCGCCACCCTGGGTGTTCCACGAGGATAGACTTGCCACACTGCAGTAGCCCTTAGGCGTGCGCGATAAGGCATTCGGATCAGCTAAGAACAGAAACTTGAAGCCCTAAGATTTCTCACCAGTTTGCGCTCTTTACACGGCTCCGGCTGCTGGCTGACCGGCCTCCTTAATTCCGCTTCTCCCCACTCCGAAAACTAAGGTAGGCCCAGGTGCTCGGAGGATGTGGGTCCAGGCCAAAACAGTGGAGGCACGACTGCACTGTCCCGCCGGCGAGGGAAAGAGCTACGTAGTCTGGGCGGCTGACACCAGGGAGGCTGCAGACCCAACCTTTGGGTGTAGAACGGGACCACTATTGCGGGGTGGGCTGAGGGGGGAGGTTGGGAGTGGCAGGGGTCCAGATATCAGTGGAGCCGCATTGAGGGGGCTCTGAAGGCCCCAATAGAGACGATCGTTGAATTAAGATCGAGGAGGGAGCTAGGATATGGCCAGAGGACTGTTAATGGAGGAGGAGGCTGCATGGGTGGTACGGAGGTCTGGTAGGGCTTCATAGAGGAATCAATAGGGGCTAATGATCAACGTGATCGTGGGGACTAGTGGGGGGGGTGTTCATTGATAAATGAGGGGGTGGTAGAGTGGGCAACTAAAAAATAATGGAAGGCAGATGGGGATGTGATCCCTGAGGGATTGGTGGAGGTATGATTTCAATAGGTTAATGAAGAGTGGTGGGCATAGTAATGGAAAGGATAATGATGAGGTTATGGAGGGACTAGTAGAGACCACTGGGGGTCATGGTCAAGGAACTAATGGAAATAGTGATCAAAGAAGTGAGAGTGAGAGGTGGAAGACATGTAGTCAAAGGCTTTTAATGGGTGATCATGGCACGGTCATCAAGGAATTAATGGTAACAGTGAGCAAAGAAAGGATAATAGTAAGGTTTTGGGGTGTGATCATCAAGTAATTGTTGGGAGTCCAGGTGGGCAGTGAAGGGAGAATGGGAAACTGATCACTCAGAAGTAACCTGAGTGTGTGATAATGAAGGAATTTCAGGGCACTAATGGTGTGATCTATGAAGGATTAATTGGAGGGCTGAGTTCATGGGGGGGCTGATAAATCATTGTAATTGAGAGCTTAATGGGAAGCTAATAGGCCATGATCCTCTAGGCATTAATGGGTACTGATAGCATTGTAGTAATAAAGGAATTACTGGGGACCTAATCACTGCAGGAATTAATGGGGAATGGGATAGGGAGAGAGAGATTAAGGGGGTGGGGAGTACAATGAGGTAGTATTGAGATAATGAGGATGAAAGCAAGGGATTAATGGGGGAGCTAATAGGGATATATGAATCTAGGGGCAATGAGGACAGCTGGGGAAACAGTGAGAGGTTAATGGGAAGAAGATGGGCAGAGAAGGGTTGATGGAGTCACAGGGTTTAATATACAGAGTGACAGCAGTGGATTTTGACAGTCAGTAATGCGTCATCTGTGAGATAAGTGTTGGGTTGGAGGATCTGTGGGGTGAGTAATGGGCTCTTTGGGGGTTCTGGTGGGGTGAGTGGTGGAGCCTGAGAGTTCAGTGCTGGGGTTCTTCAGGCTATGTGAGTGGGGTCAGTGACTGGGCTCCAATCTTCCGATCTGCTGAGTGAGCCCTCATGTGGGTCAGGTGAGCCCAGCTTGGTTTGTGTGTTTTCAGCTGCCCTGTAGAGGTAGGTGGTGGCCCGTTCACCCAGTTACTGATACAGGGTGGCATCAGCTTACTGTTGGCAGGTCCCTGGGCAAACAGTGTGTGAGATGGGACGGACGTCGAAGGACAAGCGGGATGTCTACTACCGCCTGGCCAAGGAGAATGGCTGGCGTGCCCGTAGTGCCTTCAAGCTGCTACAGCTCAATGAGGAATTCCAGCTCTTCCAAGGTCCCTAGCCGGCTGGCAAGTCCCTAGGGGATGGGGCAGGCACAGGGAACAGACAAGTGAGCTAGGTCTGCAAAGCAATGTGTAGTGGGTGGGCTGACTTGGGGGGGTCTGTGGAGCAGGGGGCCAGGCAAGAAGATGTAGATACTCAAGAGGAGTTGGGTGCCTGGGCAACAGATAGATGTGGGTGCTCCCCTGGGGAGAGCAATGAATTTTGCAGAGTTCCCAGGTTGGAGAGGTGAGTGCAATTGACAGTACACCTTCCTGTGTGTGCTCAGGCGTGACACGGGCAGTTGACCTGTGTGCAGCCCCAGGCAGTTGGAGCCAAGTGCTGAGCCAGAAGATTGGGTGAGTGTGGAGGCCCAGATGGGGGCGCCCGGGGGGGTGGGCTGGAAGTAAAAACTGGGCTGACACGGGCCGTGTTGTCCACAGGAGCCAGGGGTCCGGCCATGTGGTGGCTGTGGACCTTCAGGCTATGGCTCCACTACCAGGTGTATTACAGATCCAGGGCGACATCACCCAGGTAAGAACATGGCTGGGAATGTCGAGGTGTTTCCTGGGCAAAGATACCCCAACCTGGGGTCTACAGACAGTGCAAGAGACAGAGAAACAGACTGAGAAAGATTCAGAGACAGAGTGACTGAGAGAACCCAAGGATGTAACACAGAGGCAGAGAGACGGAGCCAGCAGAATGTCATCCCAGAGAGATGGCAACAAATTATGGGACTGGGTCCCCACAAACAGAGTGTGGTCTTAGGCAAATCCTGAGCATCTGAGTGACCCAGGGCCTGCAGCAGGTCCATGGGCAGGTGGGGTTAGAAGGCCGCAGCATGGGGGGACCTTGGGGCCACTCATCCACCCTCTCTTCCATAGCTGTCCACTGCCAAGGAGATCATCCAGCACTTTGAGGGCTGCCCTGCGGACCTAGTGGTGTGCGACGGGGCTCCTGATGGTAAACACGGGTTGGGAGGCCAGGTGGGGGACCCTGCGCGTGTCCTTTCTGTATTTCCTGTTTTGTTGGCAGCTTCTTTCCCACTTTGACTCCCTACCTCTCCTCATCTGTCAGCTGTTCCCCACATCTGGCAACTTCTCCCTGCCTTGCTGCCTGCTCTCTGCCTCTGTCTTCTCCCTCCTCACTCTCTACCACTTCAATTTGATCTGTTTCCCACCTTCCCGCTTCTCTTATCTCCTCTTATCTCCTCTTATCTCCTCTCTATGCTCTCTGCAGCTCTCAAGTCCCTCTTACTGCCCATTCATTTTAGTCAGTCAGTCAGTCAGTCATCCATTCAACATATGTTTACTGAGCACCTATCATGTGTCAGGCACTGTCGTACACATTGGGAAAACATTTGTGAATAAAATTCCACTAAGCTTTGCCCTCATAGAGCTGGTGTTCTAGTGGGAGCAGATAGAAAAGAAGCATGATTGAGCTCTGTGGCATATCAGAAGGTGATAGCTACCATGGGGAAATCAGTGAATGGGGGGAAGAAGGAGTCCTGTTGGAATGTTAAATACAGTGGATGTGGAAGGCCTCGTGGGTGTTAGCACAAAAGACCCAAAGTGAGAGAGTAAGCCAGAGGACTGCCTGGAGGAAGAACAATCCAAGCAAAGGGACAAGCCTGTGCAAAGGCCCCGCCCGAGGTGGGAGGGTGCTTGGCATGTGCAAACACAAGTGTAGAGATCAGTGTGATAAGATCAGAGTGAGGAAGAAAGTGATAGGAGGTAAGGTCAGTGAGGTCACAGGACACAGATTCTTGAGTGGATCCTTACGGGCCACAGTGAAAAGTTGGGCTTTTTCACTGAGATGAGAACTCAGGAGAAAACTGTGAGAGGGTTATGAGCAGCCAAGGGCCATCCCTGTCTGAGTTGTGACAGGATCCTTCTGGCTGCTCTGAGCAGTGTGAGAGGCAAGGGTGGAAGCCAGGGGCCTGGGGAAGAGGAGGCCACTGCAGTAGTCCAGGTGAGTGATGACAGTGGTGATGCATAGGGTTGGTTCAGAAGGTCTTTTGAAAGTAGAGCCAAGAAGATTTGCTAATAGCTTGAATGTAGGCATAAGGAGAGAATGGAACTTGTCAAAGGTAACTAAGGTTTTTGGCCTGAACAACTGGAGGCATCAGACGAGGTGAGAAAGATGGTAGGGAGAGCACATTTGAACGGGAAGCTTAGGAGTTTGGTTTTGGACAGGTCAAGTCTGAGATGTCAAGTCGGATCTGAGTCTGGGGTTAAGAGTCTGGATTGAAGGTAGAAATGGTGATAAAGAGACTGGCAGATAAGGTTGTTTTGAGCATTAAAATGAGCTCCTAGGAATTACAAGCTCAGAATATGCATCTAGTTGACAGATAGTAATTCACATGCAGAACCTTACCAGTAAGAGAGCCTGGGAAATGTTTTTAGCCTTCTAACCTCTCTGGGACAAGAAGATAGCTAGAACTGGATGGCTCCCCTAATGCCGTTCCTCTTGCCGCAGTAACTGGCCTCCATGATGTTGATGAGTATATGCAGGCCCAGCTCCTCCTAGCCGTGAGTAACCGTGGTTGCCCCTACCTCAATTTATCACCCTTCAGCTACCTCCGCCTCAGCCTTAGCTATCTGTCCTGCCCGCAGGCTTTGAACATTGCTACACATGTTTTGAAGCCTGGGGGCTGCTTTGTAGCCAAGGTAAGCCTTGGGAAACCTGGCGGGGGACAGAGACAGGTCCCTGAGGGTCATGCTCGCTCACGCCTTTTATCTCTGCCTCCCCACCCTGCAGATCTTCCGAGGCCGGGACGTGACGCTGATCTACAGCCAGCTGCGTGTGTTCTTCTCCAGTGTGCTCTGTGCCAAGCCTAGGAGCAGCCGCAACTCCAGTATTGGTCAGTGGGGAGTAGGGTCAGGCAGGCAGTGCGAATCTCAGGGACCTGTCCAGCCCCTGGGTGGAGGTGACAGTCTGCCTTCACTCCACCTTTCGCCCACAGAGGCCTTTGCTGTCTGTCAGGGTTATGACCCTCCTGAGGGCTTTCTGCCGGACCTGACCAAACCCCTACTGGACCACTCATACGGTGAGAGCCCTGGGCCCTGTCCCTGGGGAGACTCTACGCCCTTGTGGGATTTACATCTCAGGAGGGCTCACAGCCCCACCCCCTGTTAGAGACTGTTCCTTGTGGGAATTCTGTCCCTAGAGGTTCCTCGGCCCCGCCCTCTGGTGGAAATTCACCCCCCCCTCCACTCCATATGGATACTATATCCCAGGAGGATCTTCAGCCCAGTACCCTCGTGGTAACTACACTTGGACATGATGAAATTCTGTCCCAGGGGGGTCCTGAGTTCTGCACCAAGCAGAGACACCCACCTAAGGAGATTATAACCTAGGAAGATTCAGTCACTCCCGCAGGTGAAAACCTTACCCATGTGGTAATTTTGCCCCACGAGTTTCTTTCACCTGGCTCTTAGTGGGAAAAGGTACAGTGCCTGCTCGTGCAGCGAGCAGGATTGAGATAAGGTTTGGGCTATATAGAAAGGCAGGTAGACATAAAAGTGCAGTGTGATGCCCTGGCCAGGTGGCTCAGTCAGGTGGAATGTCATCCTGTACACCAAAAGGTTATGGATTCAATCCCCAGTCAGGGCGCATACCTAGGTCACACCGGTTCAACCCCTGGTCTGGTCACATATAGAAGGCAACTGATCAACGTTTCTCTTTTTGAGAAACGTGTCTCTCTTTTTGAGACAACGTGTCTCTCTCAAAAATCAATAAACATATCCTCTGGTGAGGATTTTTTTAAAAATATTTTTTTAAAGTGTGGTGCAAAAAAAGTCAGGGGTGGGGGCAGTGTTTTAGAAGAGGTGATTTGAAGCGAGTGTAGAGTTTCCGGTGGAGGAGTATGAGAGAAGCTGGTGGGTGTGTGGGGAGGCCTTGGTCCCCATGCTTCAGCCTGCGCTATGCCTGGTCCCAGGCATCCCAGCCCTGTCCTGTCTTATTTCTCCCTGCTTGTCAGATCCAGATTTCAACCAATTAGATGGTCCCTCCCGCATCATTGTGCCATTCGTGACCTGTGGGGACCTGAGCTCCTATGATTCAGACCGCAGTTACCCACTGGACGTGAGTGCCCAGCCAACAGTAGACAGACGGCGGGGGGGGCTACCCAAGTTCCCAGGTCCTTACCATCTTCCTACCGTGTGTCCCTGCAGCTGGAGGATGGCTCAGAGTACAAATACACTCCACCCACACAGCCCCCCATCTCGCCACCATACCAGGAGGCATGCTCATTGAAGAAGAAGGGGCGGCTGGCCAAGGAGATCCGCCCCCAGGACTGCCCCATCGACACAATGGACACATTGCCCAAGCCCCTGGCTGCCCCGCAGTGCCACACCCTGCTGGCCTCTGAGGTCTGGAGACATGTGGCCCAGGACCTACAGTGCCCTTTCTCTGCGCCCACAGTGACCCCTCCCCGTACTCCTCTTTCTGCCTCCAAATCACGTGGTTTGGGGGGGGGGTCAAAATTCTCTTCCCTGCCTCCCAATAGCTATAAAAATCAATGGGTAAAACCAGGAATAATGAATGGGAATACCTTAGCCAAGTATCTGAGTCCCTTTTCTTTTTCTTGAGTAGGTGGAAGACAGCGAAATGAATTGTCCACCTTAACACATTAAGGTAAATCTGCCTTTTTATCAAAGAGTTTGAGTAAAGGACGCCTTTAAGAAAAGATTAGCAAATTTTTCCCCTTTGACATTTTCACATCAACTGATAAGATTTCAGTCAGCAAACCTTTACTGGGCATGTGACATTGTATGTCAGGAACTGCTTTAAGCATTTTACATATTACATAGTGAGGCATTCTATAAGCATTTATGAAGCCCATACAGTGCGCTGGGCATTGTTCTAGGTTTAGAGGTAGAGTGGGGAAAACAGATAAATCCCGTGGCCTTCGTAGAGCTTCTAGATTGAGAAAGAGGTAATAAACAATAACACCGAATACAGGCATTCCCCCCCAACACACACACACACGCACACGTATGTACTCACACCTAGAGCTTGCACTTCACTGTATAGTTACATATGTTATACTTAATATGTTAAGTAATGGACATGAAAACATTTTAAATAAATTTTCTGTAATTACAGAAATTCTGGGGGTGGCAGCATACACATTTTAAAGGGGTTGTCATAGAAGGCCTCATGGAGCTAATGTTTGAGCAGAGACTGCAAGGAAACAGGAAGGGAATTCATGTATTTGTGTAGGGGAGAGCATTCGCGGGAGGAGAAATAGCAAATGCAAAGGTCCTGAGGTGGAACTGGGCCTGTTGTGTGAGGGAGCAGTGGGGGGCCAGTTTACCTGTAGCACAGCGGGCCAAACCCAGCAGTGCTGGAGGGCTTCTCATCTTCAGGGCCTCATGTGTTAGAGGACATCCCTTTCTGACAGTGGCTTATAAATGAGTACTAGGATGTTCCTAGCTGGCAGTATTTGTAGTACCCCCCAGACTAGAAACAGCCCAAAGATCCATCCACTGTAGAATGGATCATTAAACTGTGGTGTATTCATGGTGGAGAATTATTGGCAATGAAAATGAACATCCTACAATTACATGAAATAATGCCCTATATTATTACTCATTAAATGGAACATATATATGTTTTGTGCATTTTTTTCTGTATTTTCTGGGAAATACAGAAAAATGGAAAGTATGGAAAAAACTTCACAAAAATATTAGGGGCTGAGTGAACAATGATTAAGTAGCAAAAAGCAGGAAAATACATTTTTGTTTAAAACTTTTTCTTTGACCTTTTGATAGCTGGTAATGTGAGACAACTCAGAAGCTGTTTGCTGTCAGGAGAGCCAGAACTTGTGCTGATGAACTTGTTTTTCAAATGTGAGCTCACTGATGGGTCCAGCACACAAGCTCCAAGTGGGAACCTGCAACGACCACCATGGACACAGCCAGGAAGGAAACGTCAAGGAATGTTTGTTTCCACTGGAGAAGGGGTTTTTGCGTGAAATCTTGCCTCTTCTCTAATTCTTTCAAGGGCTGTCCCATGTCTGGAATTTGCCCCATAGTCTGGGGTTCTTAACCTGAACAGAAATCAGGGGTATCCATGAACTTGATGGAAGAAAAGATTACATCTTTATTTTCACTAGTATCACTGAAATTTAGCTTTATTCCCAAATACAAATTCCAGCAGTAAATCATGATTGTAAAACCAGTGCCTGTGACTTTTCCACCAATACAGATCAGTTCATTTTTATGGTAGGGTTATTGCAGGCATCTGGAAATATTGTTCACATTTGTCACTACTTGAAGTCATGGAAGATCTTACAATTTGATCTAGTAATAAAAAATTTATATATTACTGCATCCCAGCGTTATTTCGTTTTACTACAGGTGGTCATATTTTTTCCAGTTTCATTAAAATGTAATATATGAGTTATATATATCATACTATATATTATATAATGTATAATATGTTATGAGTTATATATTATATAATATATAACACAGCACATTGATTTGACATGTGTGTATATTGTGAAATGATCACAATAAATTTAGTTCACATCCGTCAGATCACATAGTTATACATGTTTTCATCTGATGGGAATTTTTTTAATGGCAACTTTCAAATACACAATACAATATTATTAACTATAGTCACCATGCTATATATTACATCCCCATGACTTAGTTATAACGAAGTTTGTCCCTTTTGACTATTCACCCATTTCTCCCACCCCCACCTGTGGCAACCACCAATCTGGTCTCTGTTTCCCTGAGTTCATTTTCTTTAGATTTCACATATAAGTGAAGTCAAACCATATTCGTCTTTCTCTGACTTATCTCCCTAACCCTAACCTTCAAGTTCATCCATTTTGTCACAAATGGCAGTTCATTTTTTATGGCTGCACATCCTCGCAATCTGTTCTTAGGAGTAGGATTGGCATACGTGCAGCTTTTGCATTTCACATTGCGCCACATTTTCTGTGGCCATCTGTCGGCAGACACTTAGGTTGTTTCCATATCTTGTCTGTTTTGAATAATGCTGCAGTGAACATAGGGGTGCAGATACCTCTCTGAGATCCTGATTTCATCTCCTTTGGGTAAATACCCAGAAGTGGAACTGCTGGGTCATGTGGTAGTTATTTAACCCTTTGAGGAACCTCTGTACTGTTATCATTGATTTTCGTAGTCATCCTGTGTATTTGAGTATGTTTTTGCAAGTGCATGCTTTTTAAAATATTCTGTTAAGAGGTCCACGGGTTTAACCAAATGCCAAAGGGTTCCCCAGAACAATTTTTGATGTTAAAAGCTGTTCCCTTAAAGAAATGTCAGGAAGTGTGTCTTGACTGCAGTCTTGAATTTCTCCAGTTTGGCAAACAGGAGCTGACAAACTCGGCAACTACTCTGGCAGAACTGGTTTCAGCAGCTCCCTCCCATACCTTTAGAAACTCAACATTCTTTGTCCACGTCCCAGTCTGTATCCCTACGGTTTTGGGGGGCACGCCACAGCATATTAATCCAGGGTCCTTCCCACCCAGGTTACTGTGACTACAGGAACGCAAGGCAAAAAAAGGCTCTGTGACCATTGGAGCACCCACGCCTGATACCATGCAAATTCAGCAGTATCAACACTGCAGGCTGTGAGGCCCCAGTAGCGTGCATACTCCAGTCTCTGTTTTCATAGGAGTGTTCGCATCTAAGTTTGCACGAATATGAACACAGCCTCTGCGACCCCGCCAGTGTACTCACATTAAGCTGTGTGTCTCTAGTTGTTCCATCCCCATCTGTACGCATCTTGCATCTATATACATGCAAGTGGCTACAACAGAAACAATGTCTAACCACCCGGTGGTGTCTACACCCCCGAGGGTGTGGTCCCTGAGGGACCAGCTGGTCCAGGCCATCGCTGACCTCAGTAGTGCCCCTCTCCATCTGTGTGGCCCTTCTCGTGGATGCCCTAGTCTTGTGACTCCAGGAGTGTCCACACCTCTCGGCGTGACTTCAGAACTTTCCATGCCAGAGTCAGTTTGTCCACAGAGGTACTTATACCTCAGACCAAGTGTCCTCAGTGGAATACTTACTTTAGTCTGAGTGACTCCTGGAGTGTTTCCACTCTAATCTGTGATGACAGAAATGTTTATTCGCCAGTGTGTGTGACCCAACGCTCTCTATAACCCAGTCCGTGTCACCCCAAAAGTGTACATGGCCCAGTTAATTTGACCATATATTTGTCAATTCTTTATATTATAACAATGGGTGTCCATCCCCCAGTCTTTGTGACCTGAGGGGTCACCGCACTCCAGTCATTATCACCCCAGGGATATCTACAACATAGTCTGTGTCACTACAGGAGCTGTGATGTCTGTGTGACACCTGAAGTATTCAAAACACAATCTGGTGACCCCATAAGTGTCCACATCCCGAAGTTTATGACCATCCGGTTGTGAAAACTCCAGTCTATGTGACCCCAGGGATGCTCACTGTCAAATATGTGAGTGTGCAGTAGTACCCCCATCTCAGTCTGGGTGACTTCACCAATGGCCATATGTCAACCTTTGTCCCAGAGGAGTGTCCACCCTCTCCGTGTGACCTCAAGCATCTCCAGACCCCAATGCATGTCCTCAGGGGAACAGATCTGCAGTTGTGTAACTGCAGAATTATTCACACCCCAGTCTGTTACCGTGCGCTTTCCACCTCCCCCAGTCAGTATCCCCTAAGAATGAGCATTCCTCAGACCATGAAATGCCAGGTGTGGCCACACCCCAGTTTATGTAATCCCAGGAGGGCCCACAGCCAACCTTTGTTTCCAGAAGCGTCCACACAATAGTCTGTCTGCATAACTCCAGGATGATCAACTTTCTGTGTGATCACAAAAGGGGCCACCGCCCAGTCTGCGCTATAGCTTTGGCTGTGTAACTTCCAGGGTTTTACACCACAGGCTGTGTGATCAAAGCAGTTTCCATGCCCTGGGCTCTGTGACCACATCCCAGTCTACAACTCCAGAATTTTCTACCTGGTGTGGGACCAAGGAGTGGCCACACTAGTCTCAATGGCTCCACAGTCATTCACTATGTCATCTGTGTGGCCAAAGGAAAGTAGCCAAACTTCATTCTGTATGATGCCAGGAGTGTCCACATCCCAACAATATTTCTACACAAATGTGTCCTCCCCCATGTCCCTATGGCCCCAGATGGGTCCAGCAAGTTTTACCTTGACTGTGTACACATCCCAAAATTTGACCACAGAAACATCCACAGTCCAGCCTGTGTGACCCCAGGAGTGTCTGCCCCATGTTTGGTGACAGTTCAGAAGTGGCAACAATTTAATGTGTGTGATTGCAGGAGTTTCCCCACCGTAGTCTCAGTGGCACCACGAGTGTGTGCATCTCCAACTGTGTGACCACAGAGGTGTCCACACTCCAATCTGGGTGACCCCTGCAGGTGTCCACTGCTCAGCCTGTGATTTTCCAAGGGTGGTTTTGCCCCAGTCCAGCCACTCAAGAGTGTCCACTCCATGAGCTCAGTTGGTTAGAGCATCATCCTGATATGCCAAGGTTGAAGGTTTGATCCCCAATCAGGGCACATATAAGAATTAACCAATGAATATGTAAATAAGTGAAAAACCAATTTGCTGTTTCTCTCTGTCTCTCTGTCTCTCCTTCTCTCTTTCTCCCACTCTCTAAAGTCAATAAATAAAAAATATATTTAAAGCCCTGGCTGTTGTAGCTCAGTGGATTGAGCGCGGGCCTGCAAACCAGACAATCGCGGTTCGATACCCAGTCAGGGCACGTACCTGAGTTGCAGGCCAATTCCCAGCAGGGGACACATGAGAGGCAACCATACATTGATGTTTCTCTCCCTTTCTCCTTCCCTTCCCCTCTAAAGACAAATAAGTGAAATCTTTAAAATATATATATATATATTTATTTATTTAAAACTACAAAGAAAATTACAGGCCAATATCACTGATGAACATAGATGCTAAAATCCTCAACAAAATATTAGCAAACTGACTACAGCAATGCATCAAAAAGATCATACACCACGATCACGTGGGATTTATTCCAAGAATGCAATGATGATACAATATTTGCAAATCAATAAATGTGATTCACCACATAAACAAGATGAAGGATGAAAACCACATGATCATATCAATAGATGCAGAAAAAACTTTGGTAAAAATCCAGCACCCATTTATGATAAAAGCTCTCACCAAAGTAGGAATAGAGGGAACTTACCCAAACATAATAAAGACTATGTATGACACCCACTGCCAGCATCATACTCAGTGGGCAAAAAAGTACAAGTGTTTCCTGTAAGATCAGGAACAAGACAGGGATGTCCGCTTTCACCTCTCTTATTCAACACAGTACTGGAAGTCCTAGCCACAGCAATCAGACAAAAAGAAATAAAAGGCATCCAAACAGTAAAACTGTTTTTTTTTTTTTTACTGATGACAGAACCCCAAAGATTCCACCAAGGAATTACTAGAACTGATAAATGAATTTGGCAAAGTAGCAGGATACAAAATTAATAGTCAGAAATCAGTTGCATTTTTATATACCAATAACGAATTAACAGAAAGGAAAATTTAAAAAACAATCCCATTCACAATTGCTTCAAAAAGAATAAAATACCTTGGAATAAACCTAACCAAGGATGTAAAAGACCTGTACTCAGAAAATTATAAGACACTGAAGAAAGAAATTAATAAACTCAAAAAAGTGTCAGCACATACCGTGTTGATGGATAGGAAGAATTAACATCATTAAAATGTCCATATTCCTCAAAGCAATGTATAGATTCAATGCGATTCCTATCAGGATTCCAATGACATATTCCACAGAACTAGAACGAATATTTCAAAAATTTATATGGAACCACAAAAGGCCCCACATAGCAACAGTGATCCTGTGAAAAAAGGACAAAGTTGGAGGAATCATACTACCTAATATCAAGCTATACTACAAGGCCATAATAATCAAAACAACCTGGTACTGCCATAAAAACAGACACATAGATCAATGGAACAGAATAGAGAGCCCAGAAATAAACCCACACCATCTTGGCTCAGCAGATTAAGTTCCAGCCTGAGGACCAAAGAATTGCTGATTTGATTCCCGGTCAGGGGGTTGCAAGCCAGATACTCGGTGGGAAGCATACAAGTGGCAACCGCACATTGATGTTTCTCTCCCTCTCTTTCTCCTTCCCTTCCCCTCTCTTTAAAATAAATCAAATCTTTTAAAAAATAAACCATATCTTTATAGTCAATTAATATTTGACAGAGGAAACAAGCACCTACAATGGGCTAAAGATAGTTTATTCAATAAATGGTGGTGAAAAAATTGGACAGATAGA